GATTTAGCTTTGCTTTCTGAGATTGGGGTCCTACTTAATAAGCTGATGTTTTAGATATAGCATGTGAAAAACAGGAATTATCAGATTCAGGGCATGGGTTTGAGTCAGTGACTGTAATTAAATGTTTTTTTTTGCTGTAGATCTTTCCAAAGTGAAGCTGATGAGATTCGATGATCCAGTGTCGGGGCCGAGGCGAGTTCCCGTCCTGGGAAAAGAGCTGACTGGGAAGACGCCCATTTCTGAGCATGCTGTCTTCCACGTGGACCTCGTGAGCAAGAACGTCCATCTTACTGAGAACGGGCTGCGGGCACATATTGGCGACACATTGGTCTACCTGGTTCACTAAACTCACACAGATGGCAGATTGGCCCTGGTCTCTGGGGATACTTCTACTTTGTGCCTACAGATGGGCTGTGAGACCCGTAGGCTGGACCTAGATTTCATTTCTACCCATCAAATTCTGCATGTAATCATTATTATACCAACTCATTTTGGATTCCTGGACCTAATAAATTTTTTTTTCCTTTTTGAGACTTCTAAGAGAAATAGTTTATATTATACTTAAAACAAAAAACAAAAAACACCACACAAATTATTCCTAATTCCAAGATGCTTCTAGTCTTTCACATTAACACAAAAGTGTCAGCATGCTTCTTTTGTGAGATGTGTTTTATACTTATAAAGGCTCAGGAATATTTGACAACTTTTTATATTATATCCATTACGGAGTTAGCGGTTTCTTCTTTAAAGAAAAAAAAAAAAAATAGGTTTAGCTAGTTTTGTTTTTTAAAGAAAGGGACTCTGATGATTACTTAAAAGAACAAATAAGAATATTTTGACCTGACTGCGATCACTAAGTAAAGAACAAAAAGGTCTTATATTTATAAGAAATTTTTAGCTTTAATATGTTCAGTTTACCACCAATAATGTTTTCAAAACTAATGTTATTGGTTTATAAACAGTTTATTTCAGCTACACTAAATTTAGGCACTTTTTAAAGGGGGATCTCCTCCCCCCATAAAATTGCATTAATCAAATTTGTCTTGGGTCCAATTGTGTTTAAAGACCATATCAACTGTTTTGCACATTTGCTTTTTTTTTTTTTATATTGCTGTAATGCCTTTTGATATTGTCTCTGCCATCTGTCTTCATAATGAGGAAGATTACGTATTGATTGGCAGGGGAGAGAAACATTTCCGTTTCTTGAAGGGTTTGATATGGGAAAGACCAGTTTGGGTAACCTAAGGAGCCTGCATGCTAACTTCCGGGTCATGTAGAGATTTTATTGAGCTTGGTTATTTTGCTGTGTGCAGTCTGAGATTTCTGGGCCTAGTTGAGTGCTTTGTCATTAAAGCAAATGGTAGAGTGTTAGAGCTGACAGAGCCCTTGGAGATCACGTGCAAATCCTCCTCCCTGTGGGCAGGCACTGTAGCATAGCAGGTAAGATGACCTGTGCCAAAGTCAGCTGGCTAGGTTAGATTCCCATGCCTTCCATTTGCCATGTGGGCAACATCGGCCAATTTCTCAGCCCGTATCTCCATCTATAGAACAGAACTAATAATATACCTACTTTCTGGGCTTATTGAGAGATGTTGAGATGATAACCATCTGGGAAAATCATAAATATATATATATATATATATGATTGTGACTGGCACATGGTAAGCTTTCCGTAATGTCCCTGAGATGATGGTGAGCTCAGTAAGTGCTAGTGATGAATAATGAATAACTACCCAGGGTGTATGGCTTAAGCTTTCTGTAGGCTACAGTCACGTCATTGGTATCGGTTCCTTCGGGGCAACTGCTTTGTGGTTTGCCCTCCTTTAGGTCCTTTTGCTGCTCCCTCAATCTGCGTAGCCCAAGTTATTCCCATCAAAGTAGGTTTTCCTGGTGCCTAAACAAGCCACTACGTTTACCTGAAGACAATTGAACTGTGTGTTTGGGGGGGTGGGGTGGGGGGAGAAAGTAATTTTACTATTGTGAGTAGCTGTGCCTGCATTACTACCTAAATAAGCCCTGAACCTTGGCTGCCTAGGATTAAATGTGAATTGGGATCCATGGGTGCTCAGTTCCCTCAGCCTCAGTTCCTGTGTGCCTCTCAGAATGAGTATCTTGCTGGGCTGAATATGCTTTTGTGTGGAAAGGCACATAGGTGTTGTGCACGGAAGCCACTAAGCGTAAGCCATTATGTCATCTGTCGCTCCACTAAAAATACAGCCATTGAAATGCTGGAGGAAAAATAGGTTGCGTTGGGCTTATTGTATTTTTAGGAGACTCCTTCCTTCCTAAGGGATTTTAACTCTTTTTAAACTGTGAATTGTAATGCACGCACACACAAACAGTGAGCAATAAGATGCATAGTACACACACAAAACATGTAGAATACACACACAAAATGAACAACAGCAAAACTATTTATCAACAAAGCAAAACTCTATAATCACCACCCAGTCGAGGAATAACACAATGCCAGCACACCACAGCCTGCCTAATGCCTCCTCCTAAAAAGTTAAGCTTCCAGGCAATATGTTCCAGTTTTTATACATGTTCCATGTGAGTTTAAAAAGAACGTCTATTTCTGACTATGTGCCTTAGGTCATAGTTGCAGACAGAACTGTTCAACTCCGTATCGCACTGTTTTCAGTTGACTTTTTTTTTTTAGAGGTATACGAAAATTAAAATCTCTCATCACCATGAATTTAGTTATTTTTCCTTCTAGTTCAGATAGTTTTTGTTTTATATTTTTATACTGTGTTACTAGGCACATATAAATTCAGATTTTGTTGTTGTTCTCCTTGGTAAAATAAACTTTTTCTAATTAGGAGGTATTTCTATATTTTTAGAAATTTGTTTTGCCTAAAGGCTACTTTGCCTGACATCAACATAATAACCCTTGTTTCTGTTGGGTTCGTGTTCATGTGGAATATCTTTGACCTTCTTTTTACTTTTAACCTTTGGTAGCTTTATTTTCTTTTAACATATTTTTTTTTTTTTTTTTTTGCCTTGTTAAAACAAAGTCAGCACTGTGTTCAAATGTTACTTGAATGAATTCTTTATTTGAGGTTTTAGTATCGAGTTAGTCATTTGTTTCTATTTTTATTCAATTTCTTAGTCTGTGTGTTTCTTTTTATTTACTTTTTGAATATGTGAAAATGTACACAGTTTGAAAGTCAAACTGTGTTCATCCAGAGAATTTTACTCTCTTGCACCACATTCTGACCCTCTGTAGCTAGCCATTTTCATTGGTTTCTGAATTATCTTTACTGTGTTTTGTCCCCATGAAAATAAGCCAATATTTGTGTGCTTTAATTTCTCCTTTCTCATACAAAAAGTGGCATGTTGTTTATAATTATTTTACATCTTGCTTTTTAAAAAATTATTTATTTATTTATTTTTACATATTTTATTGATTTTTTTTTTGCCCCTCTCCCTCCTTCTCTCACATCTCCTCCCTCCCCAGAGTTTTATGTCCATTGGTTGTACTTATATGCATGTATACAAGTCCTTCGGTTGATCTATTATCTCCCCCAGATCCTCCTCCTCTCCTCGCTGTAATTTGACAATCTGCTTGTTGCTTTACTGTCTCTATATCTATCTTTTGGTTCATCAGTTTATAATGATCTTTATTATCCACAAATGAGTGGGGTCATGTGGTGTTTCTCTTTCATTGATTGGCTTATTTCACTCAGCATGATGTTCTCCAATTTCATCCAGGTTGCTGCAAATGATGAGAATTCCTTCCTTTTTATGGCAGCATAGTAGTCCATTGTGTAGATGTACCACAGTTTTTTGATCCAATCATCTGCTGACGGGCACCTAGGCTGTTTCCAAATTCTGGCTATTGTAGATTGTGCTGCTATGAACATAGGGGTGCATATATCCTTTCTGATTGGTTACATCTTGCTTTTTTTAAGTTGAAAGCATAACCTGGACATTTTCCCACTTTAGTTCATGGAGATGTTCTTTCTCCTTCTGCTCTCCTCCCCTCCCCACTTGTGACACATTAATTTATTATGTGTATCATAATTTATTCACGCAGTCTCCTATGGTTGGGTGCTTAGGTTGCTTCTGAGATTTTGATGTTTTATAGGACCCGCACAGAATGATATGGAGAGTAACTTTGTGGTGATTTTGTGTTTGTGGAGTGCATTTTAAGACTAAATTGCTAGACATGGGCCTTTGTAGATCCATGATGAATGCACATGGGCAGAGGGGGCAGCAGGTGTAAAGGTGGTGAAGCAGGAGCATGTAGCTGGTGTACTGAAGGATTAGCAAAGAGGCCACTGAAAAACCAGGGCTAAGGATGGAGAGGGACCTGCCAAGGTCTCCCAGTAGTACTCTTGAGCAGAGCTGCATGAGAGCCCTGGCCTGCCTTCCAGCCCAGCAGCACATTACTGGACAGGGAGGCACACCTGCACGCAGGAGCGGACTTGACCACGGGCTATGGTCAGGGCTTTATTATAAAGATTCTTGGATTTCAGGGGCAAATGAAAAGTTGGATTTAATCATCTGAGGAATCACAGCAAATTTTTGAGTGGGGATGAGAGCATGTGTGCCTTCATGTCTTAAAGCTGCTGAAATCAATTGATTTCAGAGATAAGGGACAGGGAGAGATAGAAACATCAATGATGAGAGAGAATCGGCCAACTCCTGCACTCCTACTGGGGACCGAGTGTGCAATCCAGACATATGCCGTGATCAGGAATCAAACTGTGACCTCCTGGTTCATGGGTCAATGCTCAAACACTGAGCCTTGCCAGCCATGCTGGGTTTTTTTTTTTACTTACACTATATCTTGAGCAGCATCTCTCTTCAGATGAGTAAGACGAACATGCCACAGTTAGGCATGTGCCTGTCTTTAAAAAATAACACATCTGTCCTTTGGTGGCTGTGACCTCAGGTTCCAGAATGTCAAGGCAACATTCCTTAGAAGAGCTGTTGCCCTGTGGACTGACCCTGCTTATTGTCCAGGGAAAGGATTGCCCCGTGACCAGAGAACTATGAATTGGTTTGGAAGTGACTTCTCCAGGTTTCCCGAGAATGTGTGCTTTCTCAGTGTGCACTCTCCTCTGTCGCTTTCCCTCCTGTCATCTGAAGATGAACATTTAATTTCCAACTGGAGGTAGGGGTTCGGCGCTTCTCCTCCTTCTCTTACCCCCCTCTCCTCAGCTTCTGCTCTTAGGTTTGGCTGATCAAGTCAATCTCTTACAAGGAGCCAGGGGAAACACTGGGCTTGGAAAGAAAGAGTTGCTATCATTTCCCGTGTGTAGTTCAAATGGGGGCACCTGATTAGTTCCTTCTGGCCTCGCATGGCTCGAGAAAAGAGAAGGGCTGGCTCGGGTGGAAGGGTGTCCCTCTTCAAAAACGTTGAAGCCTGACCAAGTGGAACTATTTCTGAAGACTGCCAGGACTTTCCACCGTCTGAGACCCGGTGGTAGTGGAACCTTCTCTGGGACAATAGAGCTAACAGTGTGCAGGAAGCTGCAATAGCTACTTCAGTTCGATCCCTGTGGCGGCCCCTGGATAATTATTCAGTTCTTAAAGGAGCTACCAATGCCATGTTCACAGAAAGTGCTCAGTGAAGGGTAGCTGTGCTCGTTCTTTCTCCTGAGGATGTGTTTTTATTGATTTGTTTAGAAAGAGAGAAAGGAGAAGAGAGAGAGAAACATTGATCTGTTGCCTCCCATACGCTCCCTGACTGGGGATTGAACCTGCAACCTAGGTATGTGCCGTGACCAGGCATTGAACCCATAACCTTCTGGTGCACAGGATGATGCTCAAACCAACCCAGCCACCCAGCCAGGGCTATGCTTGTTATGTTCATTATGACACTGGAGTTATATATAACCTTGAACTGAAATGTTTTAGCCAGTGCTTGTTAACTCAAATGTCTTAATACAAAATTCACGAAAGAATCTGGGTATAAAGGAAAGAATCTCAGTATTGTATTTCTTGAGTTCAAAATTAGGTAAAACACCCCCTAAAAGCCAACTTTTATTTTCATGAAGGAAAAGCTGTCCTCTTGGTTATGTGGTTTGGAACAGAGAGGAGACAGGCTGCCTCCCCGTAAGGAAAGGTGCTGCTCACGGAATGCCGAGTGAGGCAGAGGCAGACACATCTAGTCTGGGGCTGCGGGCTGTCAATGGTTTATTTCAGGGGAAGATGGAATCCAGGGGCTCGGAGCAAGAAACTCTTCTTCTGAACCTTGGAGGTAATGGGAAGCTCTTGGCCTCCTGTGGGAAGCATCACCTTGAGGGCGTCAGCACATGGGGAGGTGCGCCCGGGCCGGGAGGGGTCTGGAAGCTGCAGGCTGCTCTGATGCTTCACCAGCTCACACCCCAGAGCCCTGCCTGCCCTGAGGCTGGGACACAGTGAAGGCCACCTCACTGGTAGCTGGATTTGAGGAGGACGCAAACGTAACGGGAGAGATGTGTGAATTCAGTTTGATTCGATTTGACCCAATTCAACAAACACATGCACCCACCTGGTTCAGGGAGCACGCTGGATTCTGGGGCCACCGGAGAGGCGCGTGTGCCCCGACCTTGGAGTTTACATGGAAGCAGGACATAAGCTAGTGTAAAGGTAGTTATTTTTCAGGGCCGGTTTGAAGCCCACACACGTTTCTTAGCGTGGGCTGTCATAGTGAAATGTCACGGGCTGGGTGGCTTGCAGAACGGAAGTTTATTTTCTCACCGTTCTGGAGTCTGGGCGTGCAGGGTCGGGGAGCCTGCAGGGTTGGGGATCCGCAGGGTTGGGGACCCACAAGGTCGGGTTGTGGTGGGGACTCTTTGTGGCTGCAGCCTTCTCCCTGTGTGTATATATGGATGGCCTTTCCTGCTCTTCCACAGTCAGCAATCCTATTGGAGCAGACCCCACCCCATGCCCCATTTAACCTTTACTGCCCCCGAAAAGTCCTCCTGACAAATACAGTCACGTTGGGGGTCAGCTTCGACATGAATTTGGGGGACACGATTCAGTCCAGAGCAATAGGTGCTCACCCACATAATAGCAAACATATTCAAATGGTTCCATACCATACGTTATAGCTCTCTGTTGTTTTTTGCAGTAAGCAAAAACGATTTTTATGATTTTGCTTTTGAAATTATTTGGCTGCAAGTCATTTATGATTGGCTGCTGCTTCTCAGCAGTCCTACATACTTGGTTTTTTTTTTTTTTTAATGAAAGAATTGTAAGTTGTTTCCAAATGTAATGAAGTATTTGTGAATTCTGAATTTGACGAGTGAGAGTGACACAGTGCCAGGTTTTTGTGATTAATGGAGCATTAGCTGATTTCTGTTTTGTAACTTTTCTGGAGCCAGTACTTTTTCCCAGGTCTCACTTTTGGAGGCTCTTGGAAAGCTTGGTAGGCCCCTCAGCATTGCCTGTGCTTCCCAATGGCTAGTGAAAGGGCCCTGCTTTCCACATCTAGACGGGCAGCTCCCAGCCCTGGCCTCCCTGCCCCAGCACAGTCAGCTGTCTGCCCCCGGCTGCCTCACTGCCTAGGCCACAAGCATCCTCTTCCCTTCCAGCCTGCCTCCTGTTCCAGACAGTGGCATGCTGGGATCTGAGCGGAGGCCTCTTGCTTCCGAGTTTGTGAACTGAGAAACCCTGAGGTAGTAGACTGGGTCAGTGGTCGGCAAACTCATTAGTCAATAGAGCCGAATATCAACAGTACAACAACTGAAATTTCTTTTGAGAGCCAAAAACCGACTTCTGCGCATGGGCCACGAAGTTTCAATCACACAGTATGTGTGTGCTCGCATGTGGTATTTTGTGGAAGAGCCACATTCCAGGGGCCAAAGAGCCACACGTGGCTCATGAGCTGCATTTTGCCAACCACTGGACTGGACGATGAGGGTGAGGGACAGGACCTGGAATAATACTGCCATTAATAGCGGTGGGACAAAAGGCCTGAGAAGGCCTGAAGGAGGAGGAGGGAGGCGATGGTGAGGTCGGCTTGGGCATGGCATCCCTGGGTCCGGGTCCCCTCTTGGTGGCTCTGTCTTGGCTTCATGGTCATCCTTTGGAGGAGCCATCTTTGTGTCCTAATTAATCGCCATCCTTGACCCGCCAGGAGCCACGCGCCAGCCCAGGCCGTGGTGAAGCAGCCAGTACGGGGAGCCAGAGGCAGGACCTCGGTCACCACCGTTGTCCAGACTGGCGGGGACTGGAGCACCGGCCTCTTCAGCGTCTGCAGAGACAAGCGGATCTGTATGTTTCCTCCCCACTTAAGTTCTCCTTTACCATTTTCTCTCCCAGGACATCAGTGGGTGGGAAAGTAACATCAGGGGCAAGGGCAGAAATTAAATGGTCTAGAATAACTGGACTAATCCTCTAGTGACTCAAATGTGCTTCTTGGCAGGGAAAACCTTGCCTTTGGGAGATGTGGATGCTTTCATAGGCTAAGTGGTGACTTAATGATTTTTTTTTTTAAAGGGCAAAGCATACTGTTGGCAGAGACTCACGAAATGGGCTCCGTCATCTGTGGGAGTGTAAATTGGTACAACCTTTCCAGTGGATGGCTTAGTAATACATGTAAAAAGAACCTTAAGCGAGATGCATAGCTTTTGACCCAGTAATTACATTTTTCAGGCATTTAGTCTGAGGAAGTAAATCACGAGCAGAGATTTCGCAGCGGCACGAAGCTCTGCAGCATTGGCTATTATAGCAACAATCTGGACAACTGAATGTTCAGCGAGGGCGTCTTACGATGAGTGATTAGACAGCCACGAGAAGTCATGACGGAGAATAGCATCTAATGGGATGGAACGATGCTTGGGATCTATTTTTAAGTTAAAGAAGCAGATTGCAAAACTATGCACCTTCGACACCATTTTTTTTTTTTGGGGGGGGGTGGGGGAGGGATTCTTAAGAAATATATCTGGAAGAATTCAAATACAAATGTTTACAGCCAGTGGCTCCAGACAATAGGCCAGTGAATAATTTTTATTTTATTTTGTTTCTCTTTCTCTCTCCGGTATTTCTATAAGGAATGGGCCATACTCTTATAATAAGAGGAAACATTACAAAAGGAGCCACCTTGATTAAAATCTTTGCAGACAGAGGTTCACAAGGACCAACAACACTATCCTCCAGGGGGACTGAGGTTCAAAGCTCAGGGCCTCTATTTTTACCTCAGGACATTCTGGCCCTCCTCGGGTGTCTAACTGGGCCTGATGCTCTTGCCTTAGGGAGCAATTCGACCACTGAATTTTTCTTGGAGCGTGCATGTGTGAGTGTGTGTGTGTGTGTGTTTGGGCTTCCCTTTTGAAGATAAGTATTTTATAATCATCGTAAAAAAGAAAAATACAAACGACTACATGAGGAAGAAGCAGCATCCTATACTCTCTGTGCCAGAGATCACCATGGCTACTGTTTTGGTATCTACCCTTCCAGGTTTTTTTTTTGCTGTATGTGTGTGTATAGAAGTCAAACACACTGTTAGGCACATTTGTTTTCACAATGTACCTCCAGGTGATTAGATCCCTGTCAGCACCTCTGGAGTGAATCACTTAAATTGCTGCATAGATTCCATGGCACTAATGCAGCATAATTTATTCAGAAACTCCCACTGTGGCCCTACCTGTGTTTTCCAGACATTTTGCTATGCAAACCAATGCTCTGTGACTCTCCTCACACTGCTGTCATTGTGCGTGTGCGTGCCTCACCTGTGGGCTAACTGTTGTAAACGGTGCCCTCACATGTGCCATTCTGAACCCTGCTGGGTGCTGCCACGTGGCTCTCCGCCTGGGAGTGACTCACTGTCAGGTGGATCTTCCTATTGGTAACAAAGGTCTGCAGTTCCCGCCCACCTCTCCTCCACCCACCTCTGGGCCCCACCCTCTGGTTTGTGTAGGCTTGTGATCTGGGCTCTTCTAGGAACTGGAGCGATGAATAAGGAGCCACATCCCATGCCTGGGGGTGGAGCCCATCTCCGAGGACAGGCCAGGGCCATGCAGGCAGTGGGATGGGCGCTTACAGAAGAGAAGAGGTGGGGTTTCTGGCTCACATCCTTTGTGAGCCTAAGCATCTCCTCTCTCTAAACAAAGTGTATGTGGTTTACGCTCTAAGTAGCATATTACACAATTGTGGTGTTGTTTCTTTTTAACTCAAATAGGTCCTAGAGATTTAACTGTTGGTACTTAATTGATCTTTCATTGCATTCTTTTTTTTTTTTTTTAAATATATATTTTATTGATTTTTCACAGGGAGAAAGAGAGAGGGATAGAGAGTTAGAAACATCGATGAGACAGAATCATCGATCAGCTGCCTTTTGCACACCCCCTATTGGGGATGTGCTCGCAACCAAGGTTCATGTCCTTGACCGGAATCGAACCCGGGACCCTTCAATCCGCAGGCCGACGCTCTATCCACTGAGCCAAACCGGTTTCGGCTCATTGCATTCTTAATTATGGTATGATTTCAACCACCATGGTTTGGTTATGTTTCCATTTATTCATGTACATGTGAGTTGCTTTAACTTGTAGTGCTGCAGTGGACATCTGTGAGCACGTGAACGCATTATGCCCGGGTAGTGCTGGTAAGTGGAATTGCTGGGTCCCAGAGGAGTTACAAGTTTCCTGGGTTCAGCCAGGTCGCCTTCCAGAGTGGCTGTGCCAGTTCCCACTTTCATCACTACAGGGAGCACCTGCAGGGCTTCCCAAACATGTGTACACACTTTAAATAATAGTGCACACTTCGAATTCTGTAGATTCTATTACAGAATTGTGTGTACATTTTTTGGGGACACCCTGTATTTTGCCATGGTTTCCCACAACATTTGATATTAAAAATCTTAGAAACATTTGCCATTCGTATGGGTAATAAATATTCCAGACTAATGCAAGGCTGAATTCAGTTTGTTTTCAGCGATGTGATGTCTACAGTATGTGATGGAGCGATTATCTTAAGACTTCTGAATGAATGAAATAGATATTCCTCAAAATTGGCTGCTCCTTGTCATCTCCCCACCAACACCCCAGTCCTCACATTCCTGTGTGCCTGCTACTGCACCCCTGTGAGACGCTGAAGAAGTCTGGAGTCCTGGAGCAGCCCTGGAGGATTCTGGGATAAAGCAGCATTTTTAGCTTTTTGCTTCTTGGTCACTGAATTTGGGAGAGGGACTTTGCACTCCTTGCTGTTGGGATGGGATTAGGGGAGGGGAGGGAGAGACAGGTAGGCTGGGAAGGGCCTTTGATAGGAAGTTTTAGTGCACTAGTGACATGGCATCTGAACATCAAAAGGCTGTGATCACTACCATTTCACACTCATTGTAATGGCTAAAGTAAAAGACCAACAAATGTTGGTGAGGAAGCAGAACAACGAATTCTCATACATTGTGGGTGGGAGTGTTAAACGGCACAAAAACTTGGGAGAACTCTTTGCATTTGTTAGTTTCTTGTAGAAGTTAAACATAAATCTACCCCATGATCCAAGCAATTCTACTTCCAGGGACCCACCCAAGTAGAATGCCCACTAAATATTTGTATATGCATGTTAATAGTACTTATTCATGATAGCAAAAGTTGGAATAATTAATGGGAGAATGGATAAATGACTTGTAGAATATTTATATGTTGGAATACCAACTATAATAATAAAAGCATAATATGCTAATTAGACTGGACATCCTTCTGGACGTCCTTCCTTCCAATCAAAGCCGTAGAGGGGGTGAGAGTGAGTGGGTAGGAGGGGCCGGAGAAGAGGCGGCAGAGGCTGGGGCCAAGGCCCTTGCATGAATTTCGTGCATCAGGCCTCTGGTTCAACAATAAAAAGAATAAACTACAGATTCACATAACAATACTGATGAATCTCAAGAAACAAGATGTTTGAAGAAGTTAATTATAAAAGTATACACCATTCCACTTATATGAAGTCCATGAAGAGGTGAAAGTTACCTATGGGAAGAGAAATCAGGATAGTGGTTGCCTTTGGAGTTGAGGTGGGGGCGGGGGGGTGCGGGGAGATGGAATTGTCTGGGAAGAGGCACGAAGGAACTCCAGGGTGAGGGCATGTTCTTTACGTTCGGTTTCTTGGTTGAATGTGGTTGTTAAACTCATCTAACTGAACGTTTATGATCTGTGCCCTTTCTTGTATATAAGGTATGCCTCAATGACATATTTGTTGAAAACATTTTAAAGGTTATGTTTAGCTTTCTTTCTGTTTCATAGTCCTAATTACGTGTATTCACCAAGGTTGTCATCTTTCCCGATGTGAGATGATGTCACATCTTAACTGTACCTCAGGGATTCTTAACCTGAGGCTTGTTGCTAGCTTTCAATGGATCCTGAACCCTGTGGAATTGAATGCACAATTGTGCATGTCATGGTGCAGATATTTTTCTTTTCCCTCGAGGAGCGAGTTCATATTCTCAAAAGGGTCTGTGACCTAAACCTATTTAAGACAGAATTTCTCTGGTAGGTGGTTCATGCAGAATGTGTAGGAAACAGGATCAGTGGTTAAAGATGAATGAATAAATGGTAAAACTGTTCCCAGGTGACGTTCAAAGAACTACACTTCTATTAGTTTACTGATTCAAACTGGCAGATGTCAGTGGCCTCACTCAACTAGCAACCTCCTTACCTGGGAAATAGAATGAAGTCTTGATAAGGAGCCGGCAGGATCAATGGACCAGTGACGAGCTTCCACCCCCATTTATATCATACACTGTGTCTATTTTAAATATTGAAATCAGGTAGATAAACATAATAGAGGTGACAGTTGTGATTCAACTGGAAAACATTATTTAATGCTTTCTCTTGACAGGGAAAAACAATTACCGCAGTGGGTGCTAACAGAGCTGTATCAGGTTCAGCTTTGTCAGTGTTTAACAAAGGGAGACAGTTTTGACAGGTCTCAGTCAGGGCGATTTTCATACACAGCGTTTTGAGAATTGGCTCTTCCTCCCCCTGATTGCAGGGAGAAGGGCACAGCGTTAAATTGATGGCACAGGGTGGTAAATGCTCTCTGAGGTGGAAATTTTCTCTGATCGCATCTGAGCACGGCCTTGCTTTTGTGTGGTTATTGACAGGTTTCTGTGGTCTGTTTTGTCCCATGTGTCTCGAGTGTGACATCGCCAGGCATTACGGAGAGTGCTTTTGTTGGCCGTTGTTACCAGGGTCCACCTTTGCACTGAGAGTTGGCACCAGAGAGAGACATAAAATATGGGTAAGTGTGTTTGGATGTATGTGCGAACCTGGGTCTGTGTGGGGACCTGGATGCTTTTCCAACACGTGAAGGGTATGTCCAAGGGGGACTTACTTCCATGCAGGTAACCGATCAGAGGGCCAGTCCTGCTCCCCTCGTTGCATCAGGAGAACACTGCGGGTAGAACTGCATCAGCTTTGGAAGACAGATTAGGGCTGATCTGACTTAAAAGGTAGTCTGTATGGCACATGCAGAATTCACTTCCAGCGCAGCGGAGATTGAGTTACAGTGTGGGAGTGAGGACAGGCAGCATGCAGATGAAGGTGTGGAGAGTTAAAAAAAGAGCGTCTCTTTATAATATTCATATGAAATGGTCTCTAAGAGATATTTTCAAGTGAAAAAGAGAGCCCAGCACAGCAGTTTGCAACTATTTACATAAAACACTATCTATGTATGTACCATGTAGACAGAATTCATTTGGGAGTGTAGGTAACAGACTCCAACACTGCCTCCCCTCTCTAGGGATACTTGTAGAAGGGTAATTACTTTTTATTTCCTACCCCTTCTTACTGTGGACCATGTGGACTTATCACCCATCTCAAAGAAATAAATAAAATAATTATAAATGTTAAGTCCTAAGGGGGAGAAACAAGATGCTGGCAGAGAAAGCAGTAGTTTCAAATATGAAGCCTGTATCAAAGCCCAAAGAGCAGGTGTTTGAATTGCAAGGACTGATTAGCAGTGAGCGGCTTGGGACTTGGGAAAGCCAGTGGAGCTGGGTCCCTGTGTGCTGACTTGGGGGCTTCGGTGGGCCTTGGAAGCTGTACATGGGATGGGCCACCAAGTAGGATTGTAGAGGCCCTGAGTGATGACTGAGCCCATGTGGTTGCAACAGGCAGAGCTGTGAGGTCCCTGGGTGATGACTGAGCCTGTGTGGTTGCACAGGTAGTGCTGTAAGACCCCTAGGTGATGACTGAGCCCATGTTGTTGCACCAGGACAGACACCAAGTCTCCCCGCAGGGCACGCTGTGTGAGGACTGGCTGGCCGTGCACTGCTGCTGGCCTCTGTCCATCTGTCAGGTGGCCCGGGAGCTCAAGATGAGGACCTCCCATCTCTACGAAATCTCAGCGGCCCCTTCAACGAAGGACACCTTGGCTTGACAAAGAAAGCAAGACACTCCTCCTCCCTCCCCTCTGCCCTCCTCTCAAAACCCTCTTAGTAGAGAGATCATTCTTCTTAAGTTTTCACGGAAATAGATGAAAATAAACGATTCCCCCTGCCCTGCTGTCTTGACTGCCGCTGCTGCTTTCCACCTCCCCCCAGTGAAGACTGTTTGTCTGGGCTTGCTGAGCCCAGAGTTTCGGAAGGCTGCATTTTTCATCATCTTCCCACTGCCCTCCTTTCCCAAGGCTGTCTGGGAAGCCGGGAGAATTGCTATACGGCTTCCTTATGCCAAGCCTCCTTCCCCAAAGCACCAGTGCTGGGCAGAAGGTGGTTCATTTTTGTTAGCACCTGGGCTGGGCACACAACGTCACGGAAATACAGAAGCATTATCCCGACTCCTTCATTCCGACCGCGTCTTGGTTGTGGCCCATCCTGAACACCTCCCTGGACTGGCGGGTCCTCAGCCCCAGGTGCACCCCTGGTTAGGCAACTGCTCTGGGTTGAGTTGAATTGTGTGTCTTCCCCTCTTTTCCCCAAAGATACATTGACACCAACCCCTGGTATCTGTGAATGGGGCCTTATTTGGAAATAAGTAGACATTGTTAAGATGAGGCCATTAGGGTGGACCCTAATCCAATATGATACTGTCTTTGCAAGAGGAGAAGAGAGACTTAGAGACAGAGGGATTGCAGCCAGGACCGTGGGGCAGAGATAGAGTGATGCCATCACAGCCAAGCTCCACCTGGGGCTACCCGTAGCTGGAAGAGGCGGGGCTTGGGGGGAACTCGTCCAGCCAACCTCTTGACTTTGGACTTCTAGCCCCAGACCCCAGAGAGAGTGTCTGCATGGTGGTACACGTTGCAATAGCCCAGGAAGCTAATGCGCCTGCCCTCTACCGTGAATGTAGTGCTCTTGCTTTTGCTGCACAGAACCGCGCTGGGGAGCCTGGCTTTGGAGGCCTGAACTGGCTGCTTCCTGTCCTAAGTGTGTCCCTGGAGGCAAATTGTCTCGTCTCTTTGTGCCTCAGTTTCCTCATCTGTAAGGTGATGGTTCTAACCTCAAAGGCTAGGAGGGTTCTAAGAGTGAACACAGAGCCTGACAAGCAGCAGGGACTCAGGGCGTGAGCTGTTCAGCAGCTCCCTTGTATTCCTGGCACATTCGACTGCTTTTCCCTCTGCAGCGGCGATATGAAGTTTTAATTAAATTTTAAATTAAAATGGAGCCAATTAAAGAAAGGATATTAAGTAAATAATAATATAATACAGGATGTATTATAGAATTGTACACTTGCAACCTATATAATTTTATGACCCTGTGTCACCGCTATAAATTTAATTAAAAACTTTTTTTTAAAGTAAAAAAAAAAAAAAAAAAGAATGCTTGGTGGATATGGCAAATATTGTGGTGGTCAAACACGAATGCTGTTGAGTACTCACCAAGAACCGTTCAAAGCATTCTACTTGTCTTCAGACGTGTATTCCCCAACATCCCTCAGGTAGGGCCCGTTATATCTTCATTCTCTGGAAGAGGAACCTGAACCACAGGGAGGGTAGGTGACGTGCCCAAGGCCACACAGCTGCCCAGGGATGGCAGCCAGGCTCTGGAGGTGGCGCTCCTCACCTTTGCACTAAGCAAGCAGAGGCTTCTAGCCAGGAGGCCTGCTGGCCCCTGTGGGCTTGCTCTGCGGAGGTGACTGCCTGGTTAGAGGAAGTGCCTGTCACTGCCCCTGCTCCCCACCATTCCCACCAAAACGAAACACTTCCCCTCCCACGGAGTGATTCCTCTCCTCCCAGCCCTCCCTCCTGGATGTCCAGAGGGCTGCCAGGAACCAAAACCCTTTGGGAAAATGAAATGCTCCGTGCTGGCGTTTATGACGAAGCACTCCCCTCTCCCAGCTCCTAAAAAAAATCGGGCCTGAGCGCAGCTCTGTTAAGTGAAAATAAACCTGTTTTATTGTTTCCTACGAAAGCACACACCGGCTTCGCAAGCATACAGCGGGGACCAACATGCGTTTCTGGCGAATGAGACTTGGGCAACCTCTCCTCGTGCACAGGACCGCGCCCTCCGGCGTGGAGAGCAGAGGGCATCTCACTCCTCTCGGCGGCTGTGGGAGGTGTGAGGGAGCCCCCACCGTCCCCGCTTCCCTTCTTCAGATGGACCTGGGTGGTAAAGGCGAACTTCACACTTCCTTAGAGCAAACCCAAACAACGGACACCCAGGGCTCTAGAAGCACTGAGTCCGTCCCCAAGTCACAGAGCACATGGACAGTTCTTTAAAACCTGCTGCTGGAGCGAAGGCCTGAAGCAGGGGTGGGGAGAGGGGAAAGGGAGTGTTAGGGCCAACCTCTGGTTTCCTCCACATCAGACTAAGTCCAAGGGGAAAAGGACTTAACAAAGCATGTGGCTCCTTCCCGGGGGAAAAAAGATGCCCGACACCAGATACTGAAGCGCGAGACGAGGCTGATGTTACACCTCCCATTTCCTCAGTCTTGCAGCTAGCTGCCAGTGGTCCATCGCGGAGAGGTACCCAACAGGGAAGGCATGTTCTGTGGGTCTTTCTTCTCGCTAGAAAGTTCCTTGTGATTTTCCAAGATGCAAAGTGTGGAACGGGACTCTGGGGACTCCGTGTGGGTAAACAACGCAGCAGACAGGGCACAGTCATCGGCAAAGGGCACATCACAGAACCAAGCGGACCAGCCCACCCAACCTCCCGGCTGCCTAGCGGCTCCTACAGGGGCTAAGCTGCTAGCCCGAGGCTCTGTTTAGGACCAAGAGGTGACAAGTGGGAGTCCTTACGTGGCCACTACCCTACAAAATGATTTATATGTTTATATATTTTATTATCTAAGGCTTATTTATACAATAGTCCACAATCACTAGCATATTATATACTCTTTTTATAAACATTATTCGCACACATGTTTCCTCACAAAGGTTCTCTTTTGGTCTATTAAAAACACTGTATTTACAAAAAAGAAGCAGAGACACGAAGTTTATAGCTTTTCTGCTTATATTCCCATGGAGGAGCAAATTTTTACCCCTTTCCTCCTTCCCCCTAAACAACACCTTCTCCCCCGTGACCCAATGCATAGAAGTAAGAGGCAATAATTCCCAAAGACAAAACTCAGACTTCATGGTTAGCATACTATTCCAGGGTAAACCTTGGTGCTGACCTCATTCTATTTCTTAAATATGTTTTTATCTACTCTAGAAAGAATGGAAGGGAGAGAGAGAGAGAGAGAGAGAGAAACATCGATGTGAGGGAGTAACATTGATCAGCTGCTTCCACACACACTCTGACTGGGGATCGAATGGGAAACCTGGGCATGTGCCCTGACCAACCACCTGGCCAGGGCCTGGGCTGCCCTCCTAATCATGATGATGCATCCTTGCCTGCTGCCCCAGCACCTCCACCACCTTTTCACTCCTAACTCTTGGGAAGCTATAACCCTGGAGCTGACAGCCCGGAGGTGAAAATGTTAGGATATGGGGGAGCTTTTCTTAAGCTTCTGGGTTTGGCTGGGAAGAAATCAGAGTCTTCATTTTGTGTTTTGAAGAAAATATTTGGTTGATTGATGACACAAATGCAAGGGATACTTTCCATCCTAAACTCTAGAAAGTTCCCAAGACGTAATACGCAGCCAGTGTGGAAGGGAGGGTGGTGGTTTCCAGCTGCTCTGAGAGGAGAGGGAGAAGCCGCTGTGAGAGCCTGCCCCAAGGCCCGGGAGACAAGGCGGCATCAGCCAGCGGCGGCTCATGGCTCTGGGGATTAGAAGTTGCACGGTCTCCCTCTGGTTACAGAACTTGCTCACGTGGGGGCAGCTTGCCTCTGCTTAACCTTTCCCTATATCACCCATCAAAGCAAAATCCCTTGCAACGCCGACGTTCTGGCTTTACCCCGGAGAACAGAGTCGTGGAAACCTGTTTCTAGGTAGGCTTCCAGGCCTCTCGGAAGAATCTGAAGGCAGCATTGCTGTCCTCATTGCTGCTGAGCCTAGAAAGCCCAGATTCACCCTGGAGGACATGGGACCGGCCTTTTAGTCTCAGGGGTTCAGAGAGAAGGGCTGGCTGACAGTTGGCAGCCCCATCATCGACCACATGTGAGATGTCATCACCGAGTTACCCTGCCTGCGGTCTCCTTACGCCGCCTGCTTTCTCACTCACCTCTGGGCAGATACAGCCAATCCTTTGGGGCTTCTTGCTGCCCCCAAGGTGAGCCGAGAGAAGGGTGTGGGTAAGTTCCTCATGCTGTGAGGGGACGGGTGCAAGCTTCACGCAGAAGAAACATTTCTGTACCCGCACAATGCAACCTTTACTCTGCTCACCACCGGGCCGCTGTTTGCTGTTGCTTACGGGCAGACCTGCGTGGTGGACAGGATGCTTCGGTGCCACGTGACGATGCTGAACTTTAAAACAGCCAACATATCCCAGTGATGCTGCCTTCCTGTCATGGTCTTTGGCAATCAAAGCACGTTGTGCTATTAAAAAGGAAATTCTTACTGACGTCTTAAGGGAGAAGATGAAAGGGTACGGCTCAAAGAGTCCCGGGTATTTGTGAGTTGCATTTATCTGTGTTAGCAGATAATTTGAAATTGCCTATTTTTTTTTGTTTTGTTAATCCTCACCCAAGGATATTTTCCCCATTGATTTTTACAGAGAGTGGAAGTGGGGAGCGGAGGGAGGAAAATGGGAGGAAGAGAGAGAGAGAGAGAGAGAGAGAGAGAGAGAGAGAGAGAGAGAGAGAGAGAGAGAGAGAGAGAACACTGATGTAAGAGAGACACATCCATTGGTTGCCTCCCCCATGGGCCTCCACTGGGGCTGGCAATCAAACCTGCAACCCAGCCAGGTACGTGCCCTTGACCGGGAATGAAACCCACAACCCTGGTGCAACACTCTAACTGCTGAGCCACACTGGCCAGGGCTATAATTACAATTATGAAACCAGGGGTAGACTATCTTCTAATGACTTGCCCTTGAAGGTGACTTACTTCTGAACC